AATTATTTTTTCATTTTTTTTAGTTTTATTATTTTTTAAAATTTTGTAAATTAGCTGAAATACTTTCGAAATTATTTCGTTTCTTTCGCAATATTGTAAAATTATTTTATTTCAAAATAATTTCTTGTCAATCGCAGTTATTTCAAAAGATTTTCAGTATGCAAAATCTTTCACAATATTTCGCATATTTATTCTGCTGATGTAATTACTGCACTTATTTCTTCTACTGAGATGTCCTTAGTCAAAGCTTGATTATACAGCAATAAAACTGATAGTAGGCTCTGCGTAAAAAAGTTTATTGCTTATTTGTCTACCTCTTCAGCTTTGTAGATCTCTTGATAGGCTTCTTTATGTAATGAAGAACATCTATAGAATTCTGTGATTGACTATTGTTGAGGATTTGAACTTTGTTTTTGGCTGATGTACAGCTTCTAGATTTGTAAAGTAAGTAAAAGAATTTAGTAAATTTTTCATCCTCTTCTATTCATTTTGCATTTGATTTGGTTTGTCATTTGTCTGAAAGTGCTTGGATTTCTTTCTGCAGCTGGGCATCAATATCTTCGCTCAGTGCTAGTAGCTTATCTAACTTTTTTTTAGCAATTTCATTGTTAATTTTGGTAAGTTTTTTTTGAAGTCTCTGAATTTTCTTTTCTGGTGAGGGCTGGGGTCTAAAGACCCTTGCTATTGATTGGATTCTGCACTTGTAAAGATCATATTTGGAGAAGTCTTTTATACTTTGAATTTCTTCAATTATTTCTACTTTAAGCAATGGGTTGTTCCAACTGTTTTTGTCAAATCTCTATTGTTTGGCTTTAGTAGAGTTGAAAGTTAGTTGAAGCTTACATTCCACTAGCAGGTGGTCTAAGTTCCCAAACTGAGTTTTAATGTGTTTGCAACAGTGTCTATAGTTAGCATCGATAAAGATGTAATCAAGTCTTGTAGCCATTCTTCTACCACCTTTGGTATTTTGATAATAAGTTATAAAGGGTTTCTCTCTTTGCTTTAAGCTTACTGTGTCTAAAAACTCTGAGGTAAGTTTTTTGAGAATTTCTCTTGTGGAATTACTAGTTGGAGGTAAGTCGCTAATTCTATTTGTTTGTGGATTAAGATTAGTATTAAAATCTCCCATCATAATGTTTATGCATCTATCATCTACTTAAGGGGCCCAATTATTGAAGAAAATAGTTCTGTCCTCAATATTTGGAAGTGTGTAGACATTAGTAAACTTGAAGAGTTGTTGTTTGTAAGTTAATTCTACAATGATAACATGCCCATTATGAAAATCTTGAAGTTTGATAAATGAAATGTTTTGATTGCCTGCCAGTATTGCAGTTTTTGATGTCCAATAGGAGCAGTAACCCCACTGTTGTTGCAAAAATTTCCTGATATTGAGGTTTTCTAGATTTGTTTTTTGAAGCATTATTATATCTAAATAATATGATTTTAGTAATGTTAATGTTCTATGTGCCTTATCCATATTATTTAAACCTTTAATGTTTAGTGTTATAATTTTAATTTTTTTAATCATAATAATTGTTATAAGAGGAAAGGATGATCTAATAGAAACTCCTTCTGATTCCATGGCTATTCTTAAGCCTGTTGCTGTTTTTTTGTGGGTCTGAGACTTTTTACCAAATTTTAGATTTACGTTTAGATGAAACCAAAATAAAACCATCTTTATCCTTGCCTTGAGGGTTCATAGCTTGGTTTGAAGTATTATTATATGTAATAGCCAAAGGGTTTGATAAGATTTTCATTCTAGGGATAAAACTATTTTTTCCAGATATAGTTGCTTCCAAAATATGTTCTTCAGCAGGCAACATCTGTGAGTGTAGTTCTATTTCTTCAGACTATGAAGATTCTGTTTTAGATTCTTCATCTACTTCTAAATTAAATGAAGTAATATTTTCTTCTTATTCATTTATTGTTGAATTGATATTTTCTTCTTGTTCATCAATATTCATACTGAGCTCATTAGTTGAATTATAAGGGTTATTCAAACTTAGAACTAGTGGTTCCTTTTCTTTTTGTTGGAGCAGCTGTTTATTTTCTTGTCTTTTTTGTTACTTGTGATTTTTGTGAAGGTTTCTGATTTCTACTGATGTTTTATATTCTGTATATTCTTTTTTAATATGTTCTGTTTTGTCACGAAAGTAACATAATTTTGAAGCTTTTTTCCAGTCTATTGTTACTTTTTGATCTCGATATGTGTGTATCTAGAAATTCTAGAAGCCAAGTCTGGGTCTTCTGTTGTTTTAAAGATCACAACCCATTGATCTGAGAGGACCAAGGTGTCTTTGTGAACTAGTGACTTGATAGATAAGATGGTACCAATATCTTGAAAGGCTTCCTTAATGGATTCTGAAATGAAGTTCTTTTTTCCCATTGGGGTGTTATGAAGCCTTACTAACAAAAAGTTGCATTTGATGTTAATAGGAATGTATTCTTAAATATTTTGTTTAAAGACTGTGAGGCCTTCAGTTACATAATACTGTTGTTTTTCTTCATCTAAAAAAACAACTTCCAGATATATGCATCTGTTTTTGATAATTATTAGTTTGACTGCAATTAGTTCTTCACCAATATCTTTTTGCATAGCTTCAATGATGTCAGAGGTAGAAATGTTTTCTAAACTATGAATTTCAAAGATTAATGCATTTTCATTTTTAATATGAAGTCTCTTTCTAGGAGAATAAGTTGAATATGTTGCTTTTCCTCTTTCAAGTTTTGCAAAAAGATCTAACTATTGTCTAGGTTTTGCAGAGGTATCTTTGGGTTTTACTTGAACATCAGTGTGATCTGCTTCATGTTCAATTACTTGATCTGTTTCAAGATCAGTATTGGTCAAATGATCAGTTTGTTTTGATTGGTGTTCCTTTACGTGACAGGTACTGACCACATGTTTTGTTTGTTTTGATGCATCTTGACAAGTCATGTAAGATGAACTGACCAAAACATTTTCTTTTTACATAGTCTTTACATTTATTTTATTTTCATTTTTAGACTTTGTGTCTTTAGCTTTGAATACAGTATTAAGATCTTTGTGCTTTGTATTGTTGTCTTCTTTTTTGATCTCAATTGGAAAAGCTTTAATATGTTCTAAGTTTTCTTTGTTATCTGCTTCATTGTTGGAAAGTTCAACTGTTTCTATGTTCGAAATCCTGACCTTTTTGACTTTCCTGTTTAAACTGCTTGCAGAAATGTTTGACATGATTGTGCCAACTTATTTTCATTTTCTAGCTATAAGGGTTTTAACCTTTGCTATATATTTTGTAACTAAGTTCTGAAAATTTATTGTTTTTTATAAAATCAGTTGTTCTCCACCTATAATTAATGAAGAACAGGAAAGAGTTTTTTTTCTTGATCACCTGATTTCTCTCTTTTTAGTAACAACCTTGGTTTTTTAATTTTTATTGAATTTATTGTTGTTACATTTTGAGTAAAGCTTGTTTACTTTGTTGAAAAATTTCCCACTTGTAAATGGAATAAATCGAAAAAATGCCATTGTTACATTATTCTAAGTGAATTAAAATATCACTCGCAACAAATCAAACTTGCAATTATTATGTTAGTTCAAGAGAAAAGTGTACCAAAAGTTGTTATTACCCGCAGTAAATTCGGATCTTCATAAAAAATATCCAATTAGTAATTAGTACATATATCCCTACTTATGATTTAATTTTATTAGTTTGATGATCACCCTAATGAATAATGATAATGACGAGAAGAAGTTTCGAAAAAAGATATCCAAACCCTCATTCAAATATGCCAGACAATTATCCAATACTCTCATTGGTGCTCATATGGGTCAGGCATCTGTAGTTCTTAATAAACCAATTATTGTTGGTGCGTCAGTCTTGGGACTTAGTAAGTTACTAATGTATCGATTCTGGTATGGATATGTAAAAGAAAAATATGGTGATAAGGCTAAGCTCGGATATATGGATACCGATGGAATGATATTTCAAACCGAGACTGAAGATATCTATAAAGATATGGCAGAAAGACCTGATATTTTCGATCTTGATGATTCCAAGACTATTGGTCTATTCAAGGATGAATGTCCAGGTAAAATAATAACTGAATCGATTCATATCCGAGCCAAAACCTATCATTATGTTATATCAGATGGAAGTACTAGATCGAAACATAAAGGAGTTAGTAATGGAGGTATGGAAATAATGGCTAAAAATATATATCCTGATAATACTTCTCCTATGACCCAAGTATATCGAGATTGTCTCTTTGAAAATAAAGTATTCCATGCAAAGAATATAGGATTTCGATCTAAGAGCCATGTATTATCATTGGTCGAATCTGAGAACAAGGCCCTCTGCCCGCTTAACTCAAAGAATTGGGTACTTTCAGATAAAATTACACCTTGGGCATATGACCATTGGAGAATTGATGCATATAAAAATATGATTAAAGCAGGTATGTCTCCTGAGTTAGCCGAAAAAAGAGCAATAATAGCTCAGCATCATCCGACATTAGAAAACAAGTATATGGTAAATCCAAAGTTACTTATTTAGAATGTAACCGAAATCATCGAACCTAATTCATGGCCGTGAGTTAGATTTAATGATAATAATATCTACCTAATACAAAGATTTTTTTTCTAATATAATAAATATCTAATTCGAAGGTTTATAGATATGATTAATCGATATCAATATCGAATAGACCATATGTTTCGAAATTTTTTTTATACAGGATATAAAATAATTCTATTAGCTTAATTAACTTAAGAAACTCCTCATGCGGTACATGCTCTATTTTATTATTACGAACATAACTTACATCCTGCTCATGAAGTAAAATTCGTTTAGCAATAAATCCGCCAAGAGATAAAATCTCAAAATTATCGCCATACATTCCTTTTGCAACTAGCTTTTCTTTATATTCATTGATTTGTTTATTAATTTCGATATTACTAGAGCTCGACATGTTAAGTAATAATTGAGTAAATATATAAAGTGAATAAAAAGTCTAAGTTAAAAAAATCCACATGTTTAGTGTAAAAAATATAATGACAGAATATAGCCAAAATTTCATTGACCAATTGTATACTATTCCTTCGTATATTTATATGCCTAATAATGTGTTAAAAAAATATCTCTCTCCACAAATTTTTTATGGGCGATGTGCTAAATGTCATCATTGGTATAAAGGATCAGTTGTTACTCATTTAAGACATCAACAGTATTGTTATCGATATTTTAAAAAACAAGCAGTGCTGACTATTCAGCGGATATTTCGTTCATGGAATCAAAAACGAATAAACTCGGCCAAAATAATCCAGCGAGCAGTAATTAAATGGCTTTATCGACCCGATGGATCATTTATGAAGCAAGCCAAAGATCGATATTACCAATGGGCTGAACTGGATAGGTGATATAATAAGCCTCGAGGGAGCGATGACATGTGACTAATTTTTCGTTTAATAAATTATATTTACCTAATGTAGGAAAGCAAGTCGGCCTACGCATCTGTCATATTTAATTTTTTTGGCTATATATATCATTCAAAAATGGAACGTAACAAAAAGCGATCAACTAATACTAAACTACATAAAGATACCCCTATTATGATCGATGTAATAGGATTACATATAAATCTTATTTATTTGAGATTAAAAGCAGTCGAGTCTGAGCTAAGAGATAGAAAGGCAAAATGTAAGCGTGAATTACCAGAATTTGAGACCGATAATAGCGATACATCAGATGAGATGGAATCTCGAAGCTTTGCTTCCTCAAATTGTTCTGATATTTTACCCGATGTTATTACAGTAAAAAAGATACATGAATCTAAAGACCTCGGCTCTATCCATTCTAAACCAAAAAAGAAGCGAAATAAGAACAAGGTACATAATTGTACAAAGGTACGTAAAGTAGCCTCGACACATAAATTGATCGTATAATAAACCGCGATCACGATATTCTGATTTTTATTGGACGTACTTTACAGGTTGGATTCACATGTTTTTCGTGTGACCTAATTTTTCTGATTCGGTATTTTTTATTAATTTTAATGTTTTTCGCCGATCCTAAATTCAACTTTCCTATATATTGATTCTGCTATAATAAAAACCTTATCTTTCCTTGTGCCGTTTCGGATATAATTCCAATTCGAGTTGGGGTAATTTTCGAGCGATATGTAAGCAGGTATATAGGTGATATGAGGTAAGAAAAGATGGGTGGTTTCAGAAACTTAAATGAGTTATGTTTACCAATATTTCATGCCTCGAAACTTTTGCCTTAAATATTCTTAAGGATTCATCCAATATTAAAGCTGATAATAAATGTAAAATAAGTGGTTTTATTTACTATTTTACATCCCAGGATTACATCGTTCCAATACTCCTCGAAATTATAGCGTCGCCGTTCCGAATTGATCTATTGTAAGAAAAGCAGTTATCAATGTTAACAGTGTGTAATTTTTTATTAAGTGTGTAATTTCTATTTAGTGGTAAAGGCATGCCAAAAATCAAATGGTTTAGAGCGAACCCTATAGTATAAAGAAATCAGATAATAAACGGCATGCCCCAAAAGGAAGACACATAACCGATTCCTCCTCCGGAATCCGCAGACCTTTACCAACGAACAAAGTTAGGGTGCCTGAATAGAGAACCTGGAGTGGTTACCAACTTGTCATACCCGGTAGTTCTCCTAGGCGTCCCGAAGCACGCTAGAAGTTACCCTAACCTTACAAAATAAAAAAATACACACCATTTCTTCTAAATCTTCACCGAGTTTTCTTGCTTCTAGTAAGAAATTACCGACCCAGGTGCCTTCGAGATCCTGTCTGCGAGAAATAGCTGTAGCAGAGGTAACGATTGCATCCCGACAGCGAAGTAGAAAACCCCAGAAAGACTTATTATGTCGCGTCAAATAAGACGTAAGTTCTTCGTAGCCGGGATATTTTTCATTGAGGTCAGACATGTTAATACAAAAAAACTTAGTAAAAAATATAGGATTGAGGTTAAGAAAAAGTATAAGAATCGTAAAAAAACGCGAACCCTTAAACACGTAGTTTCCCCTTAAATAACGCGTATACTGCCTCAGGGGCTAAAAAATCTTACAAAGAACGTGCCATGTGTTAATTTATCGAATTTGGTTATCTTGCACTTCACAGGTGCATTACACATGCATTATAGTTTTCGAATTTCTTCTGTAATACATGTTATCAATATATCGCATGACCGGATGATGCATGCAGATTCTATCGGGCAAAGCCCGTGCACAGCATTACATTCGAATTCTTTCTATAGCACATATCACATGATAGGTTAATTATTTTAGCAGAAATGTCAAGTTACACAAGTTATTATAAACTATATGCCCGAATAGAATCTCCTTTCATGATCTACCATAGCTATCATTTGTTAATTTCATATGTATCTTGTTTATAGGAATCGAAACCTATAAAATCTGGCCCTTCAGGGACGCCTCTTTGAGGCATATCGACAAATAGAAAATAATGATTCGTTATCGACATCTATTCCTTGCAAAATACAACATTCTTGAAGAAATGGTTTCAAAATTTAATCGCACTAAAATTGAATCGCATATTCTAGAGTATAAGTTATTAAATCAAATAGGTCTAAATCTCCTAAATACGATATAAATTACATATAACTTCCATAATCACTACAAATAAGTCATATAAAATGGTTAGCTTGAGTGATTTACGTGGAACCAATTGTACCGATGCTGAATGGTATGAATATTGTAAAATGCCACAAGTTCGTAATAATGAAACGCCTAGTGAGTGGATGAATCGAATTTGGCCTCGCTTACAGTATTTCAGAAAGAATGATCTTTTACCTACTGAAAGCAAAAAATATCTTGAAGCTAGGAAATTGGTACTAGGTACATATGCTCCTGAAATCGGATTAGCAATTTGCTTCTCTTGTGACCAGTTAATATATACTGGAGAACGGACTGCAAATATAGGTAATTATAATCATATAGGAATGGAGAGACATTGGAAATTTTCATGTTCCGGTAATAAATACTGTGGTGTAAATTACGATGAATATTTGAAAATCAAGCAAAAATCCAATTCTGCATATAGCGGAGCTAGTGTCTCGACACTTAATTTTGATGATATGTATGCATTACATCGATATAAATTGTGGATGCAAAATGCTAACAGAAAAATTGAACGTGCTAGAGAAGTCAGTAAAAAGATCCAGGCATGTATTACCATACAAAGGAAGTGGTTAGAAATCTTTTACAAACCCGAAGGCATGACAGCCAAGCAGTTAGCTGAACATTATAAATTATTATGGGCAGTTAGGGAAGAAATGCGTCAAATTAACAATGTATAGACCGTGTCTGCAAAGCAATACACATATCTATTTATCCGATTAATATATCTATTTATTTATTATATAACTTATTCATATATATATATATCTTTAAAATAAAACCATCTAAGATATCCCTGAGGGCTGGTACTTTAGACTTTATTTCGTTACCCCTGAGGGCTGGTAACATTTTTTTATATGTTAACCTGTTTTATGGATCACAAAAATATTTAGTATAGATAATAGATCGTTCTTGTTATTTTTTATTATAAAACAATGGTTACACTCTACATCTACTTAAATTTCATATTGGCTGGATATGATCAGCTCTTTAATAGGAGTGGCAAATAAGATGTATTTATATTATTGTGTTAATAAATAACTGAAAAAATAAAAATTATTAATTAATCTGTTTCACATATTCTGCAACCATTCACTTTTTTTACCTATACTCCATTCATGTCTAAATACCATGAATCATATAACAACAATAATCAAAATAAGTAACATATATGTCGATAGTGATGACACCAAACTACTTGTCTCAAGACTAGGTTTCATCTCTTCTATTCCTCTTACCAAAATCTGTGGATCTGAATTTATATGTGTCTAGCATAATATCTTTACTAGTTTCATTATTATTAGTTTTGCTATTATTGGTTTTAGATGCATTAGCAACCTCATTCTATAAGTCACTTACCTTAGGTATAAGGATGTCTCTGTCATCATCATCGATTTTTTCAATATCTTCTATTTTTTTTTTGCATTCAAAATATGGTTTAAGACTATTGTTAGATTCATTAATCATAGATATATTAGATATGAAAACATTCTCATTCTGTAAGTCAAACTTGACTATATTTTTTTCATTATCTTCACCAACTATTGTAGAACAGGCTAAATAGTCTACAGATTTTGATATAGCCTCCAATTTCAGGTGATCGAGTTTGCTTCTTACATGCTCCAATTCAACTTCTATTTATTTAAACTTATCCATTTTAGATTTAAGGGATAGATTCTCAGATTCTGTTTTTGATAAGTTTTCCTGAATCAAAAATGCGTCTTTTTGAGCTGATGCTAACTTATTCTTCAATATCTTAATTATAATCTGAAGTGATTTTATTTCTTTTAATTATATATTGTATCTAGCTTTATACTCATCATAAGAAATCTGTAATTGGGTAATCTGGAATGTAAGATTAGTATTGTTTATTTTTAGTCATTTAATCTCATCTATAAGCTAGAGTGCATGTTTGAAGAGTTTTTTTTTATCTTTATTGAATTGTTTTAGATTATATTGTATATGTTTATTTTCTTTATCCAAGATAGAACATTTATTAACAAGTTGATTACCACATTCTATAGCAATTTTCCAATCTTAATTTGTACAAACAAGCTGATTTTCAAGTTCTGTTCAGCTAGACAGATATCGATTGGTAGGCATGTCTCCAAGTTTTTTGTCTTTACCTATATCTGATAATGTTTGAATTTGAGACATTCTATTGATATCTAAAAAATTAAATATATTTGTATTTTAAATGTGATATAATATATAGAATATATCTATATATTTGCAAAGATATACTAAATAGAATATATATATTAAATATAATATACATATTAGATGGAATATACGTATTAGTTATGATATATTAGATCGAATATACATAACTTATATAAAAAAAATAAATAATATCTTGTATATTCTATTTTTTTAATATATTTTTTTATTTCAATATATTTTATATTTTTTTTGTTAGATATAAACATCTTATATTTACATTTACTACTATGCCTAAAGTACATATACAGTCTGATACACCTCTATTTTTACCTCAAGATTATTCATATATTATGCAATGTCATGATATAAAACCAAGATATAAAATTTTAAATGAGTTGATGAAATAAGTATAAACATCAATAAAACGTATTTATTAGATTTGGAGAGAAGAAGAATCTAATAGAATTCTTTGGAATCAATCTATACCTCACTTATATGATAATAATAATAACTCTAATTATGATACCAATATATCAAATTCCATTGAAAATATATTTCATATAGAGTCCCAGGTTTTAGATAGGAATAGTGCTTATTTCATGTCTCAAAGAGTTACCTCTATGGATCTGCAAAGCGATAATGTATCTGAAGAACAAACACAACCAAATAAGCAGACAAAAACAAAAATTAGAAGCTCTACTTTTATAGATAATACTTCGAAAAGAAAGGCAAATCTTGAAAAATTAATAAAAGATACTAATAAATTAGCACCTATAAATCCATCTTTGTCTCAGTAAGTTGAGAACATCTTTCTGCAAGAACTTTACCTGTGTTTAAGGCCATATCAAGCCACTCTTCAATTTTTATGAGTTGCTTTTTGAGTTCATCATATTTTTCACAATTTACGCATTTTTTTTATTGCAAAACAGGTCATTAGACGATTCTCCGAATCATGACTCTTCGAGTCTTTCTCTGATGCCTGTAATTTTTCTGTATTAAATACATTGCATGATTCTTTGCAAGTAGAAAGAGGAATTGTAATAGTCTTTCCATTGTGTATTGCTATAAATTCTCCTTTTACTATAGGATCCCATCTAATATAATGTTGCCATTTTGTACCAAGTATCATTATAGATATATCATTTCCATTTCGATCTTTTTTTGTAGGGATTACTGATATTTCTTTTTCAGAAACAGTTATAGAATCATTTCTACTATCTATAGATATAGGAATATTATATAATGTACCAATAGACTGAGAATCTCCAACCACACCTGTAAGTTTGTAAACATTTTTCGTATCTATTTTTATTTCTAAATATTCAGGAATGTTATCTGTAAACAATGAATCATTTGCACCAGTATCTAGAATTGCATGAGGTATTATTAAGTCACCTATTTTACAAGAAATCGTTGCTACATCATTAGGTTCTTTTATATTGAGAAAATTAATCTCAAAAGAGTTAGGCCAATTTTACCTTATTTGTGCTCCTTGATATACTTTAATAGTATGATTTAAAGAATGATACTCTGTGTCTTTGACAGATGTAATAGAATTATTAATGAAACTGGCATGACTAAGTTTTTCTGAAATATCAGGAAGAGGTACATACTTAAAATCCATATTATTTTCTTTATTAACAGCTTCAATAAAGGGTTGAAAAATCTTTTGATATTTTTTTGCGATATCCCCCTATGCCTTATTTCTTTCTTTGACAGAATATTTTTTAGTATAATATAAAACATACATATTCTTCATTTCTATAAACAACTTATCAAGAAAATTATTGACTTTTGATAGAATCTTTCTAGGATATTGTAATACTAATTTTGATATCATATATTTAAGTGATTCAAGAAATACTTTCTGCTCCAGAGTAATAATCAATTTTTTCTTAATAGAAGACTTCTTCTTTACAGGAATTCAACTTTTTTTTTATATTAAAACATGATTGCAGTTCATTATCAGAGGTGATTTCTTCTTCCTCCTCATCATTTTTCTCGTCTTCGTTTTCTAACACTTCAATAGGTTCATCCTCTTGATCGGAATTTTCTGGCTTGGATTGATAATTATAATTAACCTTCTTCAGTTTCTTACTGAGTTTAGGACATTTATTTTTTCTATGCCCAATTTTTCCACAATTTGAGCATTTGTAAGTAACTTTAGTAAACTTCTGCGGTTTCTTTGTGGCATATACTTTTTTAGCACCTGAAGTACTAGCTCTGGTAATCACTCTGGTATTAACCTCTCTAACTTGACCAAAAGGCTCTTTTCTGAGATTATAATTTGCATGTCCTAATCTTGCATATAACTCATCTTTGATAAAATTTTCTAAAGTATCGAAATTTCAAGATGCACTGTCTGAATATCCTAATTTCATAGCAATACTTTCTAAATATTCTGTTGACTTTTTTTCATTTTCCTAAGGTTGCTGTTGGGGTTGAGATTAAGGTTGGGTGTGTTGGTAATATTGAATTTGAGGGGGTAGAGTAGGTATAGTCATATGTGACTGTGAAGCAATATTACTCCTACTCCTATTTGATTCTAACCAACAATTTCTAAGATTTGTAAAGAAAGTGTCTTTGATTGCAGGGGCTGTTATTCTAACTCGAAGTTCTAAATTTTCTGATAAGTGGTTATAGAGTATAGATAAACAATCAGCATCTGCAATAGAATGTGTAAATGTATGAATTCTTTGCTTATAGCTATCTGGTATATCAAGTGGAGAAAATTTTTCATTTATAAGCACTTTCATAGATGCTTGACTAGTTCCTATCATTACTTCTCGATATTTATCCTCTAACCAACCAAGAAAAAGTATTGGTGTATTTATTTGATTATCTGCGTTATTTTGAAATAGATTGGGTGGTATGAATGCTTCAGCTAATCTAGATGATAATATTCATGATTTTATTGCATCATTAAACCCCACAACACTTAATATATTGCCATATTGAAATATTTGCATAAATTTGTTATAATATTCTATTGGAGGTTCCTGCCCAATATACATTGGAATTTGAGCAATCATCAGGGCTAATGATGATATAACTTCAGTTAAGGTGGCCATATTGAGTGAATTTACTAATGGATTTATCTGTAATGCAAAAATTTGCTAATTCAAATTATTAATTATTTGTCGGGTGCCATGTGTTTTATTTTTTTATTTCTCATATCTAAGAATAAGTTAATTTCACCAATACTCTAATATTGTTCCATAATTATGACATTGTTGCAACTGCCATTCCAATTGCTAGATTGCTTGTCTATTCAAGAGCTGTGATGCAAACTGTTCATGTAATAATGTACTGATGCACCTGTCTTTTCGAGTTTTGATAAAGATAGCATTTAACTTCCAAAAATTATGAGATCTTTCTATATCTCTTACATAATTCTGCAAAGTAATACCATCTTGGGTTAGTTGATTGATATGATTTTGTTGAAGTGTATTAAGCTGTCTATATCTATTAATGTCCTGTTGTAGCCGAGTTATCTGATTATCTCGATCATCCTGTTGGGCAATGACATCATCTATATCCTGGTACGCAGATTGATAATTATGTTTAACAGTATTCAAAAACCTCTAATGCTATTTATAATATTTATAGGATTGTTTAATGGTGTCCCAACATTTTTAAGATAATTTTCAATATGATTTAAGCCTCAATCAATTTGTATAATAGGGTCGAGATTTGCCATATTAATGTCTTGCTCTTCTAAAGATTGAGTATATGGATCTGGTGAGTTTCTTTTCGAAGAAATAATTTTGATCTTTTCATCGAGTGTATCGATATTTTCTTGAAAAACTACTAACTGCTCTTCTAAGTAATCTATATATTTCTCTTGACTTATAGAAGTCTGAAGTACTTTTTTCAACTGAGATTTAATATCAGATATTTGTTGATGCAATGGATCTAGTTCCTCATTACAAATCAATATCTCCTTCTCAAGAAATTTGATATAATCTTCTTTTAAAACTAAATCTTGTTGCAACTTCCGAAACTGATTTTTTATTGCGAATAAACTATCCTCAAATTGCTTAATTCTTGATAACATCATTAGAATTTTCTATACTATAAATAAAATGAGTAATCCTAGTATTGTTATAGATCCTTTAGAATCTCAAAAATTTGATATATCTATCGATTTACAAAAAATCTATTATCATCCTTCTGGCTATCAAAGGACTAGTAAAAAACTTTATGATGTTTCACATAATGCCAGGTTCGATTTCACATTAGTCGAAGTTCAGAGATGGCTCGAGAAACAGTTATTACACTTAATTCATAAAGCTCGACCAAAGTATATTCCTTGTATTAGTTTTAATAAGATTACTATTCCTATGGAAGTTATACAAGCTGATTTACGTTATATGCCTCATGATAAAATTAGAAACAAGATTTATAAATATGCTTTAACATGTGTTGATATTGCAAGTCGAACTAAGTGGGTTTGTCCTTTAACTGAATGAGATTCTGATAGTGTTGCTAAAGGATTTATAAAACTTTTTAAATTTCATAACTTTCCTCTTATACAACTAAGACATTGCAAACAGATTTTGGATCAGAATTTTATAGGAAATGTGAAGAGTTAATGGTTAAGTATAATGTAAAAATTAATCGAAGCAAATCGAAAAAAAGACAAGATATAGTTGAGAGATTTAATCGAACTTTGCAGAAGTGGACATTTTTTATTCAAGATGCTGTAGAATTGTTATTATACCCAACAGAACATTGTAGGGCTTGGGTTATAGATCTTCTTATATTTCTTGAAAAACTTGATAATACTATAATTCGATTTCCCCTGCTGAAGCTCAAAAATTAAAACATGTATATGCTAAGTCATCTAAACTGAAATATGGCCCTATGGGGTATAATGAAATTCATTTAACATATAGTGATTCTGTTTTATATTTACTTAATTCTGATGAATTGGAAGGCAGAAGAAGATGTGTTACTAACATGAATTGGTCTTCTCAAATTTATTATATTAGAGAATCTCTGGTACAAAAAAATAAACCAGTTTTACATTAGTTGGAAGATATTGATGGCAATGGACCAAGGTGTTCTTTTGTCTGAGAAGAATTATTATTAGTTAGAAATATTGAATACCTACTACAGAGAATACTCAAGAGTTAAGAAAATCATCTGCCTCTTTTTCAATTTCTTTATTAGTAGCAAAATAGTCTTTTGCTAATTGATAATATAAATAGTTAAGTTTTAATATGCCTTGAAGAAAATTTAACAACTAGAAAAGAAACTCTTTCCATAGATCACTTATACCAAAACTACAAAAAAAACATTTGATTATTTCTCAACATTCTACTAAGTAAACCTTACTTGACC